TGGACTCAATAACGAATCTGTTTGATCAAACTAGCCAATCAGATTTTTTATTGAATTCATTGAGGTAGGTGCTTGAGAACGCCCTGTATCATGTTTATGTTATTGGCTAAATCGATTCGTCAAGGTTTTATTAATCATCAGGGTTCTCCTCAAAAGTTTGTCAATTGTCAGAAGTTTGTCAAGGGTTTCGCCAATAGTCATGATTTCGTTAATCGTCAAGAGTTCGCCAAGAGTTTTGTCTGACAAAATCATGACGAAACCTTTTGGCATCGCAAAAATAATTTCGTCAGCCACCGTTACTTGAGAACGCCCAGCCTTTAATAAGCATAACATCAGCCGTTCAATCTGTCACTTATCCATCCCTGCACTACTTCAGCCCATTGACACCATCTGACTTTTTTCTATATAATATTAATCTGATGCATTTGTTTACTTAAAATCGTAAACAGATGCACAATCTAAGAAATGTGCCATCAACGCTTTATTGTAGTACACGTCATAATTAAACCTCTCCTAACATCCCTTAAATTAACTATATTTAAATGCAATAAAGAACTTAAATTATTAAACACGTACGTACGTTTGTTGTTTGACACACAATTACAAACACTTAAAATGTTTAAAATTTTATAGGCGATCTGGTCCATGTATATTTATGATGATTTAAATGAAATTACGGATTTTAGAACTCTAAAGCCTTGTCACCAAGTGTAAAAATCAACGGATAAGAAGTGCAGATTCCTAAGCATCCTATTGGGAAGCTCACAAATATTAATCCTTTTTAATCCATTTCTTTATCTTTCTTGGTAAGTATGTCTATATTCAGCAATGATCAATGTGCAACATATCAAGTTTTCTGTTTAACGCTTCTTTAGAATACAGCGTAGTGATTATTAATACAATTTAAAGTTGATTCTATTATCGTTATGGTAGCATGCAGACTGCAGAAATTGTTCTTGCAGATCAAAAATTAATTATAGAAACCATCTAATAATTAAAATAGAATTTTGTGCGTACTATAAGTTAACATATATATCATTATATTATCGAAATTTTGATATAAAAGAATCTCTTCAACGAAATGTTTCTACCTTAAAATTCTATTTTATTTTGAATAGATTTTACTAATTTAACATGAACTCAAAAATTAATACCATCGGATTGTCCAATCATCATTGCATTTCTCAAATAAATTCTACACAAACAACTCTGTCCATTGATATGAATAATAATTCCAATCATTCGACAGAGACTATAAGAAATAATAGACTGTTAATTTACAGTCGCCAGATGCAGGATGATGATGATGATGACGAAGAATTTTCACAAATTAATATCTATAATGAACACAGGGGTCATTTAGAACGAGACAGAAAAGCACGTACACAATTAGACACCGAAATACTTGACCTTTACGATCCTATTCAGGAAACTACTCAAAACAACTCAACTGAACAATCAATATTCTCTTCAACATCTTCAATACCAAGAAGCATTGAAACATGGTTCTCTTTTTATCGTTTAGTCGGGGTGTTATTTACTTCTAATCATGAACGAAATTAATATTAATACCCTATATAGTATAATATATAGATTATATAATACCATTTTGTAGATTATATTACCAAAATTATGTATACAAAATTTTTAAAATTTAAATACTGCATTATTTGAAATTCAGAGAAAATGCGTTATTGGCTCTTTTATCAACATGCAGCATTAAAAATATGCAAAGCATTGATGCAAGCATTGCCCCCTATTTATGTATTGTATCTGATTAATTATGTATGTATCTGATAACCTTTTTCGTTGACGTTTTTCGATGTTGTGTTACGTATAAAAACTAAAATAATGATAATAATAAATAACAATAATAAATTCAAGTCAACATTGACTTCCTATAATTAATTACAATTAAATGTACTGTAGCAAGTAAAAAACGTTTGTAAGATATAGTTCATGTTGGTCTTGTTTAATGTACGTACTCGAATTAATTGGTATATAATTTAAAATAGAACTTACAATAGTTTACCAAATTTCTCCGCTTAGTGAGACTTCATAAATCATTGCTGTAATGGTTTTTAATCGATTGAATTTTTTGATATCAATAAAATAACGACTTTTTCAAACATTTGCACCGAGATTAAACAGAACCACACTAAATCACATAATTTTATTTAACTTATATTACGTTAGGTATCACATGTATTTGTTCTAACTCTAAAATAAACTTAAAATTTATAAAAAATATAATATTAAATTACACAAATTGTTTTTATAAATTTTTAAATTAATACGTACATATAATATTGATTTATTGGACTTAGAAATAGATTAGTATATATGTACCAAAAAATTAAATGAAAATAATGTTCTATAAATATATAATAAAGTTTTTATATATTTTAATCTTATAAAATTTAATTTTAAATAAAATGAATATATATATAGTTAATACGTACTTGGCAGGGTTGGCACATTTATCCATTGGGACGAATGGAGCCATTGACATTGATCCGTTTGACCTGTTTATCATCAGGTCGAACTATTGGTATATGAGGCTAAAGATTAGAACCTTATTCATGGGCTTTGCTAGATATTTCTATTGGAGCCATTATCTCTACTGGGTTCTCCACTGGCTCCATTAGGTTCTCCATTAGTATCATTGGCTCCACTCACTCCATTCACTCCATTGGTTCCATTGGTAATTTTCTCAATGGAGTATATCCATTGCCAGCCTTGGTACTTAGTGATTGGACCTATCTGAAAAATTATGACCCGGGTGAACAATTCAAAAGATTTTTCATTGAATCCCATGCTAGAATTCATGAATTGCTTACCAATTTCAAGATAATAGCCAGGAGCTCCAGATTAAATTTAGGCTGCATTCCAATTAACGATGCTTGACGAAACTCGTCTGACCTGATGAAACCTATAGCTTCTTCAATTCGTCAATGACGAAACTTATGGTTTCATCAGTTTCGTAAGGCTCCATCAGTTTACAATTAGATTGATAACCATCAAAAGATCTTGGTCCGGTTGATATTCTAGCACAATGACACCTACGACACTGATTATAATACGCGGATGTTTTGGTCTAATAAAATTTCTAGAACGACATATGACATGACTCCATAAACACTGTTTAAATTATTTTCAGTAGCCTTTATATGTTCCATGTCATTTTTTAATTTATATCGCTTTAAAATTGACGTATGTCAATCATGAATTTAAAATAATGTACGTTACTTACTTTACAATTGGTGAAATAAGTAAAAATTTATTAAACAAATTTGAATTTGCATTTTTGATTACTTAAATTTTGTCAAATAACATTTCAAAAAAAAAATAAAAAAAGGAAACATCGTAAAAAAAAAAAAAAGATTTATAAAAAAAAAAATCAAACACACACCCACACATTCTTGTACATAGTAATGTTGTTAGTCGAAATATCCTCAAATATTTAGACAATTTTATGTCGAAATGTTAAAATTCTAATTTTACTGTACTAAATGTTTAAATAGTTGACTATATGACTAAATGTTTAAATTAGTGATAGAGAAGACTTGTACATTAAAAGTAACTGATTTTTGAATTGATAGAAATCCAGATTCAAGTTATAAACATTTAGCATAGTGAGTACTGTGAAAAAAAGCACGCATAACATGTGGGAAAAGTTTTAAGCTGATATCGTTTAGAAAAGTATATATATTAAATAGGAGCAAGCAACCATTTTTGAATCAAATTTTTTTAAGTAGCATTAAATCCACAAAACAAGCAAGTTCGATACTTGCTAATAAATAAGTTTATATATATTTTTAATTTAAACATTTCGACATTAATTAGACATTTTGATATTATTTAGATATTTCGTCATAATTTAGAATTTTGCCATTATTTTAGTTTCAGCAGACTAAATATCAAATGTCGAAATATTTCTATAGGCTCAAAACAATTTGGACTAACAACATTAGTACATAGTAATCTATTTCTTCGACAAGAACAACTTTAATGGTGGCTTTTTTACAATGACAGCGATTAAGTCGATTTCTCGAGTCCCTTCTTTGTACAATGACAGCAATTAAGTCGATTTCTCGAGTCCCTTCTCTCAGGATAGCTTTTTTGATAAAAAAAAAAAACTATTTCGCCAAAGAGTTGCCAAATCGTTGATTACTGTACTATACAATATTAAATCAAAATTAAACTGCTTATAATGATAATTTATTTATAAGTTACTGCATTTATTAGAAAAATTAACTTTCTGCCTGTGCATAGTTTAGAAAACCTTCGGAAACTATTGGACTAATTGTTGAAAGCTCTTCAGATGATACAACTATACGCTGTGAAATATAACCGTGTCTTACGCGAGTTTTATCTCGACCTGCATGCTAAGTCGTTTGATAATGGAGCAAATTATTTTATAAAAGTTTTCGATCAAAAGATTCAAGATTCAGAACGTTATATTTTGTAGTTCAATACTTATTATTAATGAAAAAATTTATTTATTTTATTAAGTCAAAGATTTGTTCATTATTGTTTTTTTTTGTTATTTATGTCATCACCACTGATTTAATAACTAATTGCATTAAAAATCCACTTAAGTTATTCTTCAATCGGTGGAAATTGAAAAATAACACACGTCAATTGAGAATCAACGAATTTTATGATTGACGCAAAACATTCTTCAATTGAAAAATAACACGTGTCAATTGAGAGTCAACGATTATGATTGACACCGAATTCTTCAATCGAAAAATAACACGTGAGAATCACCGAATTTTATGATTGACGCAATATATATATACTAGCACTTATGACCCGGTCGTTGCCCGGGGTCTGAGGCTTTAATTTTCTTTTTTGTTTTAGGTCTGAGTTCAAATGAGCCCAATTTGGATTCAAATGAACCAGACTTGGATTCAAATGAACCCGTCTTGGGTTCAAATGAACCCATCTTGGGTTCAAATGAACCCATCTTGGGTTCAAATAAACCCATCTTGGGTTCAAATAAACCCATCTTGGGTTCAAATGAACCTATCTTGGGTTCAAATGAACCTACTGTATCTTAGGTTCAAATGAATCTGACTTGGATTCACTTGAACTTAACTTTTAAATTAAATTAATTTTTTTTATATATTTTTAATTAAATTAACTTTTTTTTAACTTTTTTAAGTTAAATTTTTATATGTTTTAATTTATTTATTTTTTTTTTATTCTCTCTTTTATTTTTTTTAAATATATATTTTAATTTAAATTATTTTTTAAAATTAAGTTTTTTACAATTTTTTAATTTAACCTATTCTTAAATTTATTTTTTTTAAATTTTTTTTTTTTTAAATTGCTTATACGCTTATAAATTTTATTGATTAATTAAGATCTTAGAACTTATTACAATTTGTATTACAATGTTTGGGTTGTGCTACACTAATTATTTAATGACACCCACCCTAGCAATTTAGTTGTACCTTTGCTATTTTTAGAAT